CTGAACCTCCTGGACAATTTCATCTAAATGTGACAGGTGGGTAGCAAAGTCCCACATAGGGAGGAGGAGATAAATACATTGTATTTTAATATATGCCTAGAAAATGTCCTGAGCAAGGCTCTGCACAAGTAAGCTCCCCGGTCTTGTAAGGCATCCTTCCATGCCAGGGCCCCCCAGCTATTCCAGCTGTGTAACTGATGACAGCAGGCAGCTGCTATGAGGAGAGTAACTCTGGTGGCACCTGGACCGTGTGGAAGACAAAGGGTGACACCTATGAGTAACAGCATTCCCCCTGGAGAAAGTTGCTTTGAACACCCCACCTGAAAGAAAGCCCTCAGCCGGAGGTTGCAATTAGCAACACATTTGTGGATCTTATCAAAAGCTGCAAACCCATCAGTGACCACATCCATGGAGAACCACTCACTTAAGGAAGGAAGATGGGCCAAGATTGCAAGGGCAAGACTTCCATTCAGCCTGGCCAGCAACACCAGCAAACACTTACTGTAGACCCAGGATCTAGATCTAGTCTAGGAAAACCTGCCAAGGAGCAGAAAAGGAGCCCGAGCCCTGCTGTGCCTGCTCCCCACCAGGCTAGCCAGCACCCCTCTACCTGGGAGTCAGGATGTGTGCTAACCAGGACACAGCCGGGAGGGACAGGTCTGTACAAGCTGAAAGCACACCATTATTTCACCAAGGAGATAAAGCTTAGAATACTTTGTGTCTAAAAAGTACGTGTTTTTTCCTTTCAAGCTATCACTTCAGCTCCTAATGGATGCAAAATGTTTCAGTTTTATGTTAAACAGTAATAGGTGTGTGAGGATGAAAGGTATTTTCTGAGGAATGGTCTACCTTTGGAGCTAGATTGCTCTGACACTTGAGTGCTTATGACTAAACATTAGATGGCCTTTATTTTTTAAGATCTTTTTTTTTTCTCCCCACTGTTTAGTAGAGATTTTCCTGTTCATACCATCCTACATGATTTGTGTGCTTTCATAAGACATACATACACTTTCCAGATTTATGGCAGTTACAGTGATTTTTGGAACTTATTTAAAATGAAGAATATGGAATTTTATAAAACCTATACAAGTGTAGTGTATGAAGACATCCAAAACTGTGCTCAATTTGTTTCCTTTCTGTTATTGCAGTATAACAACGACGTAAGTTGGAGAGGTACATTGTATTTAATATCAATAACTTAGTCAAATGGAAAGGGCTGGCCTTTCCAGCTCTTCCTCAGATTAAAGATAATGAACATTCAATAGCCAACACTTGGGGCTATAAAAACCAGGCAAATTCTCACACAACTTGCTGCAATTGTGAATTAGCTTACACAGAGTCAGAAATGCTCATTAACACATTCATGAATAATGGTGAAAGACTTTGTGATCAGACCTCCCTTTTAATTCAGAAATAAGATGTCCTGTCTGCCAGTCTCTCTCAGTCAATTTTAATGCTCAAGAATTTTCTGTTGAATTTGAGAAGTTCAAGCAGCCCTCAACCCCTCTGCTAGATTTGCCACTGAACACAAAGCAGACTGATGAAGACATGGTGCACCAAGTACAGCTGCATCCTGCTCCATCATGTGCTCATCCTGCTCCAGTCGGTGCTAGCGGGGAAGAAAGCCTCTTTCTACCTGTCCCCCATCTTTTGCCTTGCCCAGGAAATTCAACCCTGAAATCCAAAGCAGATTGTTTAAACTGGCAAGGTGGGCACTCAGCCCAGGCATTTCCATTTTTTAATTGCCTTTTTATTTTACATTGCATTTGTTCTTTCAACAAGTCTGAAAAAAACATCAAGCTGCTCCATGAATGCTTCTTTGCCCCAAACAATGCGTGAGGACTTACACGTCCCTGCAAAGGCCAGGGGCCAGATGGGAACACACAAGGAATGTGTGTGAGACAGCAGAATGGGAGGAGTCCCAGTTCCCAGGCTTCAGCCCAGGCCTCAGCCTGCCCATTCTTACACAGGTGAGATAAGAGCACCAAGCACATCTGCCCACATCCTTTGCAAACTATTCCTTCAAGGAGGAGATAGGAGGGTTTGGTCCATACAGCTGTTATAAAGCACAAATTTTAGTACTAGTCAAATAATTGGAAAAGGTAAAACAGACTCATGTCACTCTGGTTCCCTGCCCAGCACATCAAGGC